GTGAAAGCCAGGTTTGGGAAGTAGAAAAATTACTAGGAGGATGATTGAGAGTATTTCTCCACAAGAAAAAATTTGAATCTTCATTTCAATTGTCCGGTGTGTGAGCAGGGAGACAATCCCGCAGGAGACACAAAATAGGATGTCTCTCGCGAGAAAGAAGCCAGGAACCTGCCACACAAGCCTGAGAAACCTTTGCCAAAGTTGGAATACCGGTAACCCTAGGTCCATTAGATCCAGTGATGTCAATCAAAGGTCCTAGGTTAGTCCAATTGTCGTGCCAAAAGAAGGCAGAATTTCCAGAACGAATTTGACAGACAAGAAAAGGACGAGCTAAAGTTCTGAGTTTCATCAACTGCCTCCATATCCAACTTCCTGATAGTTGAAAGTCAGAAGACCAGAAGTGACGCCCATTTAAAACCTTCTTTTCAATCCAAGCAACCCATAGAGATCCATTCCCAGCAAAGAGTAGCCAAATCAATTTCAGCCCAAAAACCTGATTAATATCATGAAGATTCCTCAACCCCAAACCTCCTTCTTCCTTAGGAGTACAAACTGTGTCCCAAGCAACCTTTGCTCCTCTTGCTGAATTTGGGGCACCACTCCAGAGAAAAGCATTACAAATTCTGCCAAGAGTAGTAAGACAACCCTTTGGTAATGGAAAAACAGTAGCCCAAAAATTAATAATACTGTAAAGAACATATTGTATTAGTTGAAGCCTCCCTGCGAAAGATAAATTCTTTGTTCTCCAAGAAGAGATACGGTCCAGAACCTTGTCGATCAAGACTTGATAGTCCTGGGGACGAAGCTTATGAGGCAGCAAAGGTAAACCTAAGTATCTCACTGGAAGGGATCCTTGGGTCATTCCAAATCTTGTAGCTAATTCCCGTGCCAAAACCAAATTGTTACCATCCAAAAATAAACAAGACTTCTTCAAATTTAGACCCAAACCAGAAGCACGTTGAAACGTTAACAAAGTATCCAGAATACCAGTTAAAGATCGTTCTGAGCCGTCAAAGAAAATGAGGACATCGTCTGCAAAACTAAGATGTGTAATAACATGGTCCAGACAAAG